GATTCTGACTCAGCAGGTCTGGGGTGGAGTGGGGGGGCGGGATTCTGCATTTCTGATCAGCTCCCAGGTGAGGCCAAGGTTGCCTGATGTCATTGCACAGAAAGCAGAGAGACACCGGGCCCAAGCCCCCTGCTGACACTTGGAGCAGTGAGTGGTCTCTCCACCTTCACCTTGGCACCTTTATGTGCCTCTTCCATCTCTCGCGTCATCCCAGACGTGCTCATTCATTGTCCCCACTAGCCTGTGAGTTTCCAGAAGGCATGGACTGTATCCTGTTCACCTTTGAAACCCAACACAGGATCTGACACTTGTAAACATACATGAACAAGGTGACTATCAGGAAAACTGCCCGTGTCCCCAAATGAATCTCAGCTGAGGGAGCCCAGACCCAAACCCTAGAGCAAAGTACAGTGAAAGTATCTGGGGCTGTTCCAGCGCCCCTGCGTCTGTGGTCACTTGGTTTGACTCTCCTGTTCCCCATAGAAGGGGTCCCTGGAGGCTGGGAAGAAGGTTGCAGTGGTCCCCAGGAGTGAGACAAGAGGAAGGATGGCAGTGTCCACTATGGAGAACTGTGCAGGCCCAGAAGAGCCCACTGAAAAAGCCCTGTGTGATTCAGGTCAAGAACCTTGAAGTTCCTGCTCCAGAATCATTCACACCTGCTCCCTTCATTTCCCGAAAGAACCTTGAGGTTCCTGCTCCAGAATCATTCACACCTGCTCCCCTCATTTCCCGCATATGGTCAATGGTCCATTCCTTGAGGACAGAGGCCTCAGCAGCTGGTATCTTCTAGGTCCCTGAAGTTCCATGTAGGGGAAAGATCATGAGATTTGGAGCTAGAGAGGTGGCCCTGAACACCTTGCCCATGTGATCCTGGGCAAGTGGCTTCATCTCTCTGTTTCCCCCTCTGCTTAGTGGGGATGATGACTCTTGGGACTCATGGGACTACAGTAAGAGGTAAGTGAAGGGCTGGGAGTGAAGGAGCTAAGACATCAACTAATACCCCTCTCCTCTTTTGGACAGCCCACCCCTTCCCTTGCCCACCCTGGCACCCTTATCGGGTGGAGGTGCCCCCTTTCCCAACCCCTGCCCTTTGCTGAACAGAACTCCACTAGTCTGGGTGCTCAGGACAGAGACCTTCCCAGCCCCTCCAGCCCCACCTTCCCACATCAGTACACTCTGGAAAGCTTGCCAAGAGCAGATTCTTTATTAATTTCTCTTTTTTCTTAAAAAAAAAAAAAGGATTCCTTCAGTATAAAAAAATAAATATTTTAAATATGACATTGAATAAATAAAAATAATTCTGTCAGTATGAAACATTCCCACAGGGTACATTCATCAAAGAGGAATTTGTCCCCAAGGCCAAGTCCTTTCTAGGAGAAAGGAAGGAGGGAAGTACAGGAGGACGCACCGAGCACAGAGCTAGCAGTGTGGGTGGGAGGGACGCCCAGGTACTGGGATTTTGGGGGGGCTGGGGAGCTGATCCGAAGGTGAAAACATCTGTACCATCTGAAAGGAAATTAACTTCTTACTGGATTCCCGGCTGCAACCCCCCACACTGTGTCTGTTCGGGAGAGCCATCCAGGCAGAGCTGGACTGCTTCTGTCAGGGGGGATGTCCCCAAGCAGGGGACAAGAAGGGGGAGGGAGATGACAATAAGGAGGAGAGACAAATAAACTAGCGGTGCTTTTTGTTTAAAAATACTTTAAATAAATAAGATCCCCACTACTCCTCTCTCAATAAGCTGCAAAAGGACTGTCCTCTTCCTCCTTCCTCCTGGGCCCGGCCCAGTGGGACCCAGTCTGCAAATAAGTGTCAACAGGAGCATATGAAAAATGAGGGAAAGAACAGCTTCCTGCCCTGCAAAGGTGGAGCGTGGGGAGCCAGGGGCTGTGTTGGGCCCAGGAGATTTTCTTGGTCCCTGAGCCTCAGAGGCTGCCCGGGTTGGCCTGGCATGGGGCGTTCGTGTCCACGGGCTGATGAGATGATGGGAGACCCAGCCAGTCAAGGCTTCTGAGCCATGTTCGCCAAAGGAGCAGAGAGATGGGGGCAGGCAGCAGGCTGAGATCCCAACCCATCGAACCATTGGAAAGCATGTGACCGCCATGGTCTCCTCGGACACCCCCTTACATCTTAGTCTTGCCAATGGGACAGACAACTCCCAACTCCACCCTCCACCCCCACCCCAGTCTCAGGGCCTGCCTGCTGCCTGCTCACCTGCCATCCAGTGGGTACGGATAAAGTACTTCGAGAAGACACAGAGAGGTGCAAAGTGAGTGCAAAGTACCATAATTGCATTGGCTGAACTGCTCGGACAGCAGCCCACTCAGGGTTTGAGAAAAAGCCAGAACGCTGCTCTTAGCAGCTGCCCCAGCTCCAAGCCCTCCTCCTCTGCTCCCAGACTGGAGGGCGTTTCTCCACTAGCCTGGCCCCAGCACAAAGGAAAAGATCAGGTTCCCTGCCTGGGAGCCCAGACAAGGGTGGGGGCGCG